TTTACTATTGAGTCTACATTCGGGGGACCCCATTTGCAATCTGGTCAGTTTTAACTTTTTCCTGTTTTTAAAATAGATCAGTCCTTCTAGGTTTTGTGGGGGTTTGTGTTTGTGGGTTGGTTTTTTGTGGTGGTGGCTTGTTTGTTTGGTTCTTCTTTCTAGATGAAGCTTGGAAACCTACTGGTGCTGCACATATTTGCAGAGTTACTTTTTCCCCTGAGTCCCGTGTCTGCTCATGTTGTGTGTCTGTTGTGTAGAGCACCAAGCACTGCTCTGTGAGTGGTGATTCTGTTATTTGCAAAGCCTGTCTGTGTGTGTGTCCTGAAGCTGTTAGGACATCAAGCTCTGATTTGAGCTTCAAGGGTCACCATAGGACATCTGGTGTTAAAGGCAGAATATGTACCTTGCCAGTCTTCCCCTGAAGGGACCAGAGACTCATGTTACTGCTTGAGCTTTGTCTGGGGAGGGTGGGTAGCCAGGCATTAGAGTAACTTGTGCACAATTGCTCACAGCCCTCAGCCTGGCTCAGCAGTACCTCCTGCAGTGATGAAGGTGCTTTTCTGGAGCAGGGCTGCGTTCTTTGAAAAGCAATGACTGCTTGCTTGAAGTAGGAATAAAGAGCTGGGGAGAAGTAATGTAAAGATTGTAGTCCTAGCTGTTGAAATTATAGATCCAAGTAGTTTCCCCGTGGCAGATACATTTTGACATTCATCCTAGGTTTTTCTTCACATAGCTGAGGTTGCCTATGAGGGAGGGCAGATGTCATGCTCTCAAACAGGCAAAATGCTAGAAGGAAGACTTTCTGTGCTGGACGGGAGGGGATGTACATTCAAAATAGCTAGTATATTAAATGTCTCTGGATAGTCTGTATTGATCATCACTTCTGTAGCATCAACTCTTACCAGCTAGAAATGGGACAAAGAAACACCATTTCACTATCTGAAAGGTGGCAGGGCTGGTGAGCAAAGACATGGGCTGTGAGCTACAGTGAAGCAGGTGTCCTACTGTAAGGGTGAGTTTTTGAAGCCCTTCGGATCTCCTGGAGGTATTGCTGGCCTTTCTGGCAGGGCTGTTTGCTTGCATGAGAAGAACCCCAATCAGACAGGCATGATCCTGGATTGGTCTTGAAATTAATGCAGACTTATACAGTTACAATTTCCCTGAACAAAACAAGCACCATCTTGTGCAACTACGTAAACCATAAACTTTTTGGCAAGGCAGGTGTGGCATCTTCAGTGTCTGGAAAGCACCTAACATGCTGTGTGGGCTCCCTACTGTAATCCAAATTACAAATGCTAAAAAGGCTTTGATTTTTTTTTTTGCTTTGTTTTTTTTTTTTTTTTTTTTTTTTGTAATAACATGATTCTTGGCTGAATTTGGGCAGGCAAGAACTTCATGGCCTGCACTGGGGTGCTCTACATGTTTCCTCAGGCCCTCATAATTAATCAATGTCGAGCTGTTTCTCTATCTGCAGGGAGGCACCTGAGGAAAGCTTTTCCACAGCCTTAGGTTTAACTTGTTTGTCAGCCCCGAGAATAACCCTCTGTTCTTCAGAGATGCCCCTTCTGGAAGAAGGGGTGTTCCTGGTGCCCAAGGTCCCTCTATACTAAGTACTTTTGTACAGGCTGTGGAAAGCTTAAGTGAGTTTTCTTGGTACAAGATGACTTTCAATAAGTTGATAATATGGTTTAATGCTGAAAACCAGTGTTCTAGCTTTTTCATTGCACCTCTGGATAACTCGGATCTGTGGAACTCAGCTTCTGACACAAGGAGTTTGTGAAAAGTTTCATGCCAGTAGCTCAAGCCCTCAGCTTAGAAGATATGTGTGTTCCTTCTAAACCAGAATGGCTTCTGTGTTAAATTGAATATTTAATTGTTGCATGTGCACCATACTATCCTACCAGGCAGCTCTGCTCTTAAGTCTGTTTATTCATACAGACAGCTGAAAAGCCTTGAGTCTTTCAGGATCCCTGACATCACATGCTGGGAAAAAGCTTCAGCATCTTCAATCTGCTGCTCTTTGCTGTATGTTTACAGTCACTGGTGATCATTGCATTTTGGGGGCTACAGAAAGACATTACTGTAGCCAGAGCAATTCCAAGCTAACTTGTGATAATCCAGCCCTTAAAAAGAAAAAAATCTGGTCCCGCTTTACAGTGTTTTTTATAGTCTAGTCCAGGTCTCTATAAACCATATAAAATTGCCTTTTTAAAGGGTTAAATTTTCCAATTTCCCATTTGGAACAGGTGTTGCCAGGTTATAGAAAGTGTTGCAGAAAAGGAACAAAAACATTTTAAAAACACTATACCGCTACAAATTTTGGTGAGTCTCTGACAGATGAGATTTTTAAAAAAGTTTGCCCCACCAAAAGTAAAAAAAAAAAAAAAAAAAAAAAAAAAAAAAAAGAAAAAAAAAGAAAAAAAGGCAAACCTTGTTTACTTTTCCCAGGTGTCATGTTTTTAATAATGCATCAGTCTTCAAAAGATCGAGCAGTATGAAACTTCTCAATTGCTTTTCATTTAACTGGGGGGGAGAAAGGGGTGAAGAATTTTTTTTTTTAATATAAAAAAACCAAAGCAACAACCAAATTTCAGAGATGCATGTTCTCAGAGTGGTTAAAAACCAACCCAAACTAGACTTCAGGCAGTGTTTTTTCAACAGCTTTAACCTCCAAGCATTGAGTAGACAGCTTTGCAGGAAACTGTAACACCAAGGTGATTATGGCAATGACTCACACTTCCCTGTAAGGCATCCAGCTATCAACACACTTGGGGAGCTGTGGCTTTGTGCATGCAGGCAGGGTGTCAGTCAATGCCCACTTGCCAGCCAGCTCTGAGCTGCTGAGCTCATAACTGCTTTGACAGCAAACTGGGATATCAGTGTGTTAGAGAGCAGTTCTGGTGCCCCCAGACTTGTGAGAGGTTTTAGAAATGGAAGCTAGAGAAAAGGAAATGCAAGGCAGGTTTAATTTCCCTTTTCTTGGCTTAATCCTCGTGTAACTTCTTTGAAGAGTCCCCTGAAATCCCCTGAGCAGGTGTTTGGGTCGGGCTAATAGTTAAACCACTAAGAGAAGTAACATGGGAAGTGAAAAGGGCTGTCTCAGTTTGAGACAATTTGGAGGGATGGAGACCTCGGACAGAAGTCTTCTTCCTCGGATTCAATACCCCTGGTTTCTCCAACAGAGAGAGAGAGAAAAAGAGAGCAATTAACTCTTTATGAAAAAGAATGCTAATAACAATACTGTTAAAACTGGGTTAAACCAACTGATGAGGAGAAACTTCCCAAGCCCTGCCCACCGGACCAAACTGAGATGGTGGCCGGCTTCCCCCACCTGGAAAAAACACTTCTGACCACAGGATAGACAGGATGGCCGTCCTTCTATGTGGTTCACTCATCTCAAGCCTGGAAAACCTGGCAGGAACAGGGAGTCAGTGCTAGCAGGAAATGGCAGATAGCTAGGAGTTGGTACCTGCAGATGCTTGTGTGGGGCTGGAGCGAGGCTGCAGTGCTGGTACAGGCAGTCAGAGAAGGGCTGCGGACCCCCCAGGCAACTGGAAGGACCTGAAAGACACTAATTGCATCCAGCAATTAGACTTGGTTGTTGCAATTTCGATGTTTGTCAGTCGAAGTGGTGGTTGTCAGAGTGGAAGTTGCTGCTGATTGAGCCACGAGCACCAATAGTCCAGTCTCTGACAGCACCTGGGCCGTCACTGCAGGTGGTAGAATGTTTGAGTCATTAATCACAGCAGTTCAGTCTCTTTGAAGATGGCAAAACACCAAAAAGCCAAAAAGGCATATTTGGAGAAAAAAAGAAAAGGAAAGATGGATACCAGAATTTTTGTGTAACCCAGGACAGGCTGCTACTATCATGTCTTGCCAAAACTTTGTACTGGTGTTTATGGAAAGAAGGCTGTCAGTTGGGATCCTCAGGAAGACAGTAAACACTTGGGAAAGAGACCGGGATGTCCCTATAGGCAGCTCAGAGTAGAGCTGAGGGTACAGCAGATGAGATGTTGGGATTTGCAGGAAACAAGCAGACAGAAGAGGGGGACCCATTCATGTGCATTGTGGGTTTCCCTATTTCCAAAAATGAGGCAGAAGCCAAGCTGTCTTCAGAGAATGAAGGCAATAGTGATCGTGATATGGAGGAAGTGATCTGGGTGAGAAATTGGGAGGTTGGGATTGTTCAAATTAGGAGACTGACAAGGAGTGCCACGTTTATACAAAATGGGATGCACCCTAATAGGATTTTCAGGAAGAAGTAGTATTCAAAAAGATAACAAATTTAAATTTCTGAAAGGACATAGGTTTTCATGTAGTGTGTAATTAAATTGTGGGATGCATGGAATGCAGCTGTCAACTGTGCTGGATGTCATCAGGAAGGAACAAAAGGTGGCTTTGGGAATGTGCAGGTATGCCCTTGTATGTGATATCCACAGTTGATATAAGCAATGCTTTAAAAACCAAATATCTGGTGATATAAAGCTGGCCACATGTGTGGCTCAACTACTGAGGCCAATCTTGATAGGTTATTTGGGTTTCTCTGTCCTTGATGATAAGTTTCTTGTGTCTCAGACTAAAATTATCTAATACCAGATACTGTTTGTGGCAGGGCACTGGGCAAGTTGGGCTGTTATGACTCAGTATTGCCTTTCCCGTTTTGGTTGTGTTTGGCTTTGCACATCTTATGTTTTTAGAGGTGAGACAGAGTGAGTAATGTTTTAGTTTTATTAAAGAAAATGGAATGGCAAAGACCCTTAATTTTTTTAAAAGATGTACGTGTTTCATTTAAAGTTCCCTTCAGGCAAAGTCAGCTTTGGTAGGCAGCTTAAAATGCATTATAGACCATATTGTTATTGTCATCAAAAAAAATAGACCATGCTCTGTTCTGGGAAACCAAACAAAACAACTATTTTTTTTTCTCCCTCCTTTTTTCACTTCCTTCAGTTTTTAATAAGCGACCGCGACAGAGACCCTCAGTGTAACCTGCATTGCTCCAGGTCCCAGTCCAAACCCCTGTGTGCCTCTGACGGCAGAACATACGAGTCCATGTGCGACTACCAGAGGGCCAAATGCCGTGAGTCAAGTCTGAGCGTGACACATCGTGGCCGCTGCAAAGGTAGGTGGATTTCAAATGCCTCTGAGAGGAGGACTGGGAAACCTATCTTGTAAGAAACTGAATTCTTAGAGCCTTGAGTAGTTTAGTACTATGCTCTGTGAGTAATCTGATTTGAAACTGTGCTTTCATGTGAGGATGGGTATCCGAGTCTGAATTTAGGCAGCAGAGTAAGAGCTGGCTGAATTATCAATGAAAGAAGGCAAAGGAGACATGGACATCACTGAAAAAGGGCTGAAATATGTATCTGCAGACAGAAGCAACTGGATGAATGGAAGTGCAAAATCAAATCCTGAAAGCAGACTTCTTCCTTGTTACCTATGCTGGTGAGGAACCAGGATACCTTCGACTGATAGGAATATGGAGTGGGGAAGAATGTGTGATGCACACTAAGTGTTTAATCCCTTTTCGGACATACACAGCCTTTCTGTGCTGAGCTAATTAAGACAGTGCATGCAAGGCTTTACGAGGCTTTGTTTTGCCTGTTGGCTGTTGTACATCTACTTAAAAGTGCCAATACTGTCCCTCAGTTCAGCTCTTCAGCATAATCTAAAGATGAAGTTGAAACTTTTTAAAGGAATATTGGTGTCTCATCACACAAATGGTTTGCTTCTACAGTGAAGTGAAAAATCAAGTAGAGTCCATCTGAGAGCACAATTGACTCACAGGGCAGATGACACAGATGTTTTTAGCACTTGATTAAAGTGACAGAAGAAATTAATTAAAATCCATGTGAAAAGATAAATAGGCATGCATTTAAGCCTGGGTTTTGTTTATTTTTTACTGTTGTAAAAATGTATCTTTGAAATTCCTTGATCTAAAATACAAATCCCTTTTCAATATATTGACAGACTTCAGGTGAATTATGAGCATGATGTCAAATACTCTTATAAACAGTTTCTCATTGGAAAAAAGCTTACTTGTATGATTTTTTTTTTTTTTGGTCACAGCTGCTGGATTGGTTTATGGCAACTTCTCACATAGCATAGATAAAGGCCTTTGAATTAGGCTGCTTTCTGAGTACTGGAAACTCAGAAGCTTTCTTCCCAGTGCACAAGAAGCAGTTGGACTGTTCTTGCAAGCGATGCCTTTTTGAGTATCACAGTAAGAAGCTGTTCAGTAGGAGTCCTGTTTTTGCTTTCATCCCTTGAACAGAGTGGCTTAGATAAGCAACTCTATGGCTGATATTGGTATATGAACTGACACTGTTCAGTTGCTTGAAACATGAGATCTGAAATGTGGTATGTCCATGCTAAAGGAAGGTATCACTTACAGGGTTCAAGCACCTTGTACTATAGTAGGGCACCACATTTACCCTGAGCAGCCTTTATTCCTCCTGGATGACAGAGATGCTCTACAGGAGAACTCCCACAGAACTGTAAGGGATCCCATGAGCCATTGAGCTCAGTCACATGAAATTGTGATAGATACTGTACCCGAGAACTTACCCTTATGAAATGAACATTTATAACTTGTGCTTCCCTCTCTAAGGGGGGAAAACAATAGGTAGCTGAAATAAGTAAAAGAAAAAGTATATTGCAGACAGAAAGGCATGGTTCTGCACCCCAGATTACCATAGGCTTCCAATGTCATATACTAATGACTTGAACTGTGCTTGTGCCAAGGAAAATAGAATGGTTTCCATAGTAAGAACAGAACTTTTTTGATTCAACTTGATGCTCTGCTCTCTCTCAAGAAATTAAGGACCTTTAAAGATGAAATCTTGCCAGCTCTTTGGGAACTATAACCCTTATCTAGCCCTCATCCCTTGCTACGTTTCTCACTTGCTTTTCAGTGAAATTCCTTCAGTGCTAAATTATCTGAACTCCTTCCAAACCCTCACTCACACATCACAAAGGGTTAGAAGTTAGGAGTAGCTTAAAGTGATCAAACTGTGGCATCCATGACAAATGGAGCCTCATTGATGAGACCGTATAGAATATTCCAGATGGCATAGCTGTGTGTAAAATACACAGACAAGCAATCCTACCTGCATCTTTTGTCAGGAGGCATCATAAGATCTGATGTCAAATAAGAGTTATACCTCTAAACTTTGCAAGGATGAAGGATGAATACTTGTTAAGCATGACAATTGACCAAGACTCATTTATGCAGTGATTGTTATATTGGTATATTGGATATCTGTGACTTAGAACACATTTAAGTTCTGTGTTAACTGGTTGGTTTCTAGGAACTTGTTTGACTTATTTAATTACAAAAAAACCCAGTGTAGGAGTGGTCTAAAACCTTCCCTTTAGATTTATAGTGTTTGATTTGGAAAGTCTGCTGGTACAGAGCTTGTTCTTAAATCACAAGTCACTGCGTAGAGTAAACCTATCTGTAAATTAGTGGTGGAAATTTTAACAGGTCTTGAGCTTTTGTCCTGGGACACAGGAGATGAATGCAACTTCTGGCTAATGTTCTGGAAAGACAGGTCTCCTCCTGACTGATGGGTTGTTTGAAGATAATCTTTCTCCTCTACCTACTATTTCTGTTGGATGGGAGATGACATTTTGAAATCACTTAGTCTGCTTGCTAGATCCATATATTTTGTCTTTGAACTTACTTTATTCTCCCTTGACTATGAATAAGTGTGTCCCTCCTTGGCAGCAGTTAGTCAGTAAAATCTAAAATGTCACTTGCAATCACTTGGTAAATTTAGGCATGTTTTTATGCATGCTCCAAATAAATTAGGGAGCTCTGGAGTAGAAATGGTATATGGGTATCAAAGAAGGAGCAAAGAACATCAGCATGAAAGGTAGAAAAGGTGATGATCAGAAGTAGTCAGCGTGGATGGGAAAGTCATGGTTAACCAACCAGGTTGCCTTCTATGGTTGGACAACAGGCTGGATAGATGAGGGAAGAGTAGTGGATGTCATCTACCTGGACTTCAGCAAGGCTTTTGACACTTAGGAAGTGTGGACTGGATGTATGGACAGTGAGGTGGTTTGAGAACTGGCTGAACAACAGATCCCAGAGGGTCATAATCAGTGGTACAGAGTCCACTGGAGGCCTGTCACTAGTGGTGTCCCCCAGGGATCAATACTGGCCTCAGTATTGTTTAATCTATTCATCAGTGAATTGGATGAAGGGGCAGAGTGCCTCCAGCAAGTTTGCTGATGACACAAAGCTGGGAGGAGTGGCCTCAGAGTGCTGTGCAGCTCTTCAGAACCATCTCGACTTGTTGGAGGTTGAAGGGATGGGAAGAGTGGAACCTTTTGAAATTCAACAAAGTGTGGAGTCCTGCACCTGGGGAAGAATAACCCCATGCACCAGTACAGGCTGAGGGCTGACCTGCTGGAAAGCAGCTCTGCAGAGAAGGACCTGGAGGGTCCTGGTAAACAACAAGCTGTCCATGATCCAGCGGTGTGCCCTTGTGGCCAAGAAGGCCAACGGTATCCTGAGATGCATTAGGAAGAGCACTGCTAGCAGGTCAAGGGAGGTGATCCTGCCTCTCTACTCAGCCCTACTGAGGCCACATATCGAGTGCTGTGTCCAGTTCTGAGCTCCCCAGTTTAAGAAAGATGTAGAGCTCCTAGAATGAGTCCAGAGAAGGGCTGTGAAAATGATTAGGTGACTGAAGCATCTCACTTGTGAGGAAAGGCTGAGGGAGCTGGGCCTGTTTATCCTGGAGAAGATATGAGTGAGAGGGATCTCAACAATGTCAATACTGCTTCTGCCTGTTGAAGAGAGGATGCTGGAATTCTTGGGGCCTATTCAGGAGTGCACTGTGTGTATTAGGAGGGACACGGTAGTTGTGTCTGAATAAACTGTTCACGGATAAGATCAACTATGGTAACTAGCCAACTTCATTGCAAAACCCAAAATTATGTGCACCTGTGTTCTGCAGACTAGGCCAGGCATATCAAAAACATCACTTGTAGTTAATCTCCTAGTTGCCAGCTGTCAGCTTGAGAATTAGTTTTCTTTAAAAGGCAGCTTTCTTAGCTACAGTAAATCTGTCCCAAGACTGAAGATAAAGTAAAATTAAGCAGGTCTGCTTTCAAAGGAAGTCATCCTGTTTTGGTTTTTCACCTAATGTAATGGGGGGGGAAGAATGTCCAATTTAGTCTGTCTGGGCTGTGAAACTGGAATGCATTAATGCCACTCTGTTTTATAGGCATGGTGTTTGATATTCCAGAGAACATTTTTAAAAAGAGAGAAGTAAAAAATGCTGAAACACTTGAAGTAAGCCATCAAAATGCAGAGTAGGGTATATGAACCTACCATCATAAATCAGGCTTTAGTAAAATTTGTTACGCATCTTATTTGGGGTGATCTATTTGGCAGCTACTTTTTAACACTGGCGCTTATGCATTATTTTACATTTTCTAATTAACAAAGCAAAAATAGCAAGGTGAAATCATCCCACTGAAATCACATGTTGATGCAAACAGTATAAAAGTACTAGCCCATAAAGTGAGGAAGAGAAGGATTGACAGTCCTTCTAAAAACAAACTGGTAAATGTTGATATTAAAGGCGCTGTTTTTACTGGAACTGAACTGTGGAAGATGGATGAAAAAGATAGCCATATGCACACACCTCTCCACTCAGCATGGCATATAGGTGATTGCTCCAAATCAAAGCTGTAAAAGGACTGGCACAACCTTTGGAAATCTATGAGGGGGGGATGGAAAACATAATCAGTCCCGAGTGCTCATGTACAGGAGAAAAATTGTCTGTCTTTGTACTTCAGCAGCAATTTCTGAAGTCATCACTTGAGCCAAGGGTTGAATTGCAAAAGAGCAACGATAAGCTTTTAAACGCTGTGGTGTAGTGGTGTGTTATGAAGTATGGTCTGCTGGGTGGTGGTAGAGGGTTTAAACTATAAATGTCAGTTAAAATTGCCAGGAGAGCCACAGTCACATGTTTTATTATCTTCTTTTTACAGTCAGGGCTTGATCATATGCATGTTTCTCTGTTCATTAGAGAAACTGGTCAAAGATCTTGGTTAGTCTCCCTTCTGCCTGGACTCCTAATGTATTTGTACTACAGGGGATATCACAAAATGTTTGTTTTCACCAGCTCTGTGCTGAAGCATCCAGTTTCAGTCATGTAGTTGTGAGTGTGCCAGCACTAAAGTAGATGCTATGTGAAAGTGCTTTATGCTTATGTTTTATGTTTAGGAGAGGAGTGAGGTATACCTGTCTGCAGTCTTGTATCCTCAGATGAAGAAACTACAAAACATTTTCATTTGGGAACTTGTGCTTTGGTTGTCATGTAAGAAATTCATGTTTTTTTCCTTACAAGTGCACATCTGCATAATCTATGCTGATTTTTTTTTTTTTTTAGTGCTACTTAGTTGTCTCCTGTGAAGCAGAAGTTGAAAGTGTTTTCAGTAGAGCAGCTAGCTATGAAACAGAAAGTGCAATCACACCATTTGGTTTTGTAATAATGTCCTCTGTAATGCCAAGATAGATTACTCTTAAGCTTGAATGGGAGATCTGCAGGTGATAGGTGTTACAATTGACAGCATTGCCAGTGCTTCCTTTTCAGCTAAAAGAAAGAGCACATAGTTGCCCCTTTGACAAAGGGTCAGTTTGCAGGACTGTCCTCCACTGGAGATGTGCAAACAAGGTCTGATCATCTGGTCACTTTGGCAAGCAGTGGAAAAGGAAATTCCACATCACAGCTTATATCATGGAGAACTAGAAAAATAAATACTACTTCTCTAAATACAGTGTAAATTCTATTCAAGTTTCTTCATTCTGTAACAGCCTTGCTCTTAGTACAGGTACTTAATAGGTCCACCTGAGATCAAAGCTCCACGTGCTAAGGGTATTTTGCAAACACGCCCCAAACAAATTAGTCCAAAGATGAGTGACGTAGGATGAGAAGTGACATGAGGTCACAAGGAGGTGAAATGACCAACTTGTAGTCACTCAGTAGTCAGTGGCAGAGTTGATATAGGCACTATTGCTTTCTAACCCAGTCCCTAAGTGACCGGCATCTATGGGACTATTGCTATGAATCCTTACTTTTTTCAGAGAGAAGGGTTTGACTTTCATAATTTTGTAAACATTGTGAAATCCTTCATAGGAAGTAATGTGATATGTTTAAAATGAAACTCTGTTGGCAAACTGGAAACTTAGTCTCTGAGTCATCAGTAAACAAAGTATGTAGCTTGAAAGCTTTGGTCTATGCGTTTATCAAAACTATTTACAACATTGTAATTGATTTCTATATCTAGTTATACTTAGATGAAAGTTGCTTCTATAGCCATGCAGTATGAACTCAGTTATCTAAGAACCCAGAGTGACTTTCTAGTTAAGTGCTGGTACTAGTGATGCTGTTGTTGAGGTTCATGTGATCTGTGAAGCAGAATATGTGAACTTCAGGGATCCAGTGGAATTTTTTGCTAACCAATATGATTTCCATGCTTGGAATGGGGATTCAGTCTTGGTCACTCTTTATGGTGCTGCTGAAAGATTCTGGTGATCAAATTTTGCAGTTTCTGCACTGAAAGTCTTTAGTCAGTGGATTCATAGGATAAGGAAGAAGGTACCTAGTCCCTGTGTTAGAGTGCCATGGAAACAGATGTTTGCTCTTTTCCTTCTCTTTCTAGACTGAACAGCAGTACTGTTAGACCTCATGTTTTTAAATGTAAACACTGAGTCAATCTGTATCCTCTACAGGGCAGAACTCTCCTCTTTGACCCATCAGTCATCAGTGTAAGACTTACCTGGGTGTACTCTAACAGTGAGCTAGCCCTGGAAGGGTTTAAGGTCATCATGCTACACGCTGCCATCATCTGAAGTAAGAGCTGAGATCTTAACCCCTTCAAACTCTGCTTGCAGAGCAATGTTTTTTTCTTGGCATCAAAGTGAGTAACTGATATGAGAAAGTTATAATGAACACCTGGCTTTAAGCATTGGGACTGGAGGCACAAGCTGAGTTTCAGGAAAGCACAGGAAACTGCATGTCTGCCTTACCTGAACAACACAAAGGTGGAAGTCCAAATGGGTGACTGGCTATTTTAGCATCTTATTGGGAGAGTTGCTCAGAGAAGAATTTTTGGTAGGGTCATCCCTTCTTCCACACTGCTCACTGCTGAGCCTAAATTCTTGCTTTATACTCAGCCATCCAGTTTCAGGCTGTTAATGCTAACACAAACACAACTCCCTGCATGGACATGGTGCTCCAGCACTTGTTGAAAGAAGCTTCCAGAGTCCTTAGATGACCATAAAAACTATTGACTAGGAAATTAGGCAGCTTTTCATTACTTGGATTGTAGTATGATTGTCTAGGTTCATATTTGAGATTATGAGTGCTAACTTGATATCTACTTTGTGAACATGCAGCTAATGATCCTTTATGCTTTATATTTATTTGTTTGGAGTTTTTTCCCCCACAGCTGCTAGGTGCATCTGGTAGCTTTTGGAGGAGCCAAATGATGTTTGCAATGTAAGTGGGTTTTGTGTTTCTCATCATAGATGCTGGCCAAAGCAAGTGTCGATTAGAGAGAGCTCAAGCACTGGAACAGGCAAAGAAGCCCCAGGAAGCAGTCTTCATCCCAGAATGCAATGAGGATGGATCATTCACTCAGGTAAAATTTCTATTTGCTTCTTTCAGCCAGGCTTCAGGTGTCTGTGGGAGATCCACTGAGTGGATGAGTTGATATAGGCCATGAGCCGAGTGATGATAGCAGCATGGGTTCACACCCTGACTCAGTTACTCAGGTGAAAATGTTGAAAGCTGGACACTTCTTTAACCAAATGGAAGGTTTGATTCAGTCACAATACCTTAAAGACAAATAGAAATGCAGTAGCATACAGCTCAGATGTAGTACAGAAACAAATGGCATTAACCTTCAGCATTGTGTAGAAACAAAAACAGTTGCAGGGGAGGTAAATTTTTCCATGAAGAGGAGCTGTAAAGGGAGCTGTGGCTTACAACAGGGTGGATCCAGCTGATTCTGCTGTTACCTGTACTTCATCTATCCCAGCAAAAAAGTAATCTCTTCAGCTTCTTCCTTTTGCAGGATACTTTTTGTACTGTGCCCTTTTGTAGTTTGAACATCTGGCAGAGAGATGATGAAACTTCTTTGTTTGGGTTTTTGACTCTTTACTGTTCACTTGCTGAAGTTTGCCAAAGCAGGGTAGAAATGAAGAATGATACTTGCTTCTGTTACCACTGGCATATTGGGTAGTGTCCCAGGGCTAACTGAACTGCCTGTTAAAATGGCTCATGCAGAGTTTCCTGACAGGTAGGAGGGGTATGCTGTTTGCTCAGTTTTGCACACATTTCAAAAGCCAAAATCCTGCAACCCTATGACCTCTCCTTTGTGAATCTAGGTAGATCACAGAACTTTTTTTTGCCTTAGCTTCCATGTATCTAGCCCTGCTCTAGACATCTTGTTCCTTAGAGAAATTTTAGGATACAGAAGTTATTGTTTGCAAAGTCTTTTGAAGGTAGAAGATATCCCAAAATGGAATCAATATTGGCTTAAAAAAGATGAGAAAGGCAAAGAGCTTTGGGTTTGGTTCAAACATTTTGTGATGCCTAGGGGAATAGGAGAGGAAAGATTTTTTTTTTTTTTTTTTTTTTTTTTTGATAACCCACCAAAAATTTTTATTCCCTTCCTCAGCCTTACCCTCACATTACCTGATGTGTGGGAGTGTTTTGTTTTAGTTTTTACTGGTGAAGTGGGAAAAATTTTATCCATCCTGCCAACTTTGCGTGCTACTTTGGAACAGCATCATATTTGTGTGCTGTGGACCATCATAGGAAGGTGGGGGTAAGAGAAGATGGCTGCAGTTTCTTCCAGTTTAAGTACAATTTCAGTTGTTGAAATTTGATTTTGTGTAGAGCTGCTCAGGTTGTGTTGGCACTGGAGGGAAATACTTATAAAACCTAGCACTGTGGGCCAGCAAAGTGTTCCATGTTAAACTTCATAGTTGAAGAAAAAAGGAGGAAGGAAAACTGACTTTCAAATGTCTATTAACTGTCTATCAACCTCTTGGAGAGTTAAGTAGGGGTGCAGGTGAAATTTTTATCCTAATAAGCTGGACTGATAGTGTAGTTGATAAAGCTGTTTCAGACAGATTTATTTTGGAGGTTGGTACCAATGTCTGGATTGTGAGCAGTTGCTGGACTTCTTTCCTGTACATTCTTTGGCTATTGTTGGTTGCCAGTTGAGGGGCAGCAGGAAACTGCTTAAAAAAATTGTGTTTTCATTTGGCAGTCAAGCAATATTTCACATTCTTCCTCCATTCAGTTCTATCTGTGAACACTGAAGTGCTTTTGTTTTACCTGCCAGGATGAAGGAAGCCTCTGATCTCTTTGTAGCTGGAATTAACTGAAATTCATATCGTTCCTTGGATTGTGAAAATACCCTACATTGCACATACCTCATGAACCAGCTTCATCAGTTATATTGCAACATTTAAGGTCATTTTCCCTGCATAATATTTAAATGAAAAAATAATGTCCAAGAATGCTAACTAGTTTCAACCTGCATTTGAGGCAAATATTTCCTTTAGCTCCTGGTCCAAATTAATTAAACTTTGATTTTTAAAAGGATGTATAAAATTTAGAATTTTGGTGAACAGTCTAAACAGTTTTACTTCCAGCAATTCATGAATAGCTCTCATCTGGTGGAGGTGGTTTGGATACTGCATCTCTTGTGCAGGGAAGTGATGCTCCTGGGTTCTGCTCTACAGGGAGGCTGTGTTCTTGAAGTCCCTCAGGCCTTATGATGAAGTCAGCTCTGGGCTGTTAGTTTATTCTAGTTCATTACTCAGTGTTGCTCCATCCAGACTCCAAAATCTTGGTTGGGAAGTCCACAACAGAGCAGTATCTCTCAACAAGGTTTCTAGGAGAAATACCCACCCTACTCTTCAACATGAGCTTAAGCAGAGGCACATGCTTCAGCATAAACCCTGTATGTAGAGCAGGTTGGGGAAATTTCTTCAACAACTTGCCCTCATCTTTTCTGTGTAACTGAGTTTGAAAAAGTGTTTTGTGTAAAAGAAAAATTCTGATTGGAGGGGAAAAAAAGATGCATGCATATATTTAGAATATCAAATGTCTAAATTGTTACAGTGCTCACTCAAGATGTGGATGACTTGCTTTCAGGTCTTGCAGAGCCTACTGAACATAGTAGGTGTTCAGGCCCACATTATTGTCCTTGCCATCAGAGTTAAAAAGATCGGAATTTCTATCTAATTAATTAATTGTTGTCAATCCTTGAAATTTTTGTAGGAGTGAAAAGCATGAGCTTTGTGGAAGCATTTGGTAGTAGTGGTAACTACATTCAGAAAACCTGCTTAGCCTTAACCAGATTGTACTGTTACTTTTGTAGTTTGTCATCATTCTCTTTATTAGAAACTGAATTGCAATCTCTACGGGTAAACACTGAAAGCAGCTCTAGGTGAGGGCTGTTCCTCTGAGAGCAGCTCAAGTCTGCCCTTTCCAGCTCTTGGCATTGCAGATAGTTCAAAACTAAATTTGGGGCTGGATCCACTGCAAATTGGCTGGGGCCATAGGGTGGTGATGAGAACATAGCTGCTCTGCTGTCTTGTGAGCAACAGCATGTCCTACATGGGGCAGCAACTACAGAGGGAAGACCGTGCTCACCTTATCTGCTCCTGGTTCCCTGCAGGGCAGCTGGCTCTGAGACCCAACACTTAGATTGGTAACAAGGGTGAAAGGGAGGGGGGACTGAAGGCAAAGACCTAGCTTTGGCATTTAAACCCTCCCTTAGAGAAACATGTGTTGTAAACACTTGTATAATCTGTCTTTTTTTTCGTTGTCTGTGAAATCTAGACCAAAATGAGTATTGCCATCAATTCTGTTGCTTGTCTGGCCAGTTTTCCTGTGCATGACTAGTTATAATGTGTTTTGTGTACTACATTAAGAGGAGCAGACAACTTGTCAATTCACTGTAACTCCTATGCACCATGTGTGCTGCTTCCCTTATTTTTGAGTTTGTTATTGCAAAGATCTTATCAAATCCCTTTTTAGTGCTGCTTAAACATCTAAAAATGTGACATGGATTTCCAGCATGAGGTAGAGGTGGCATTACAGGCACGAAGAGATGACTGTAAATGGCAGCAGACCTCATTAATTGCTCTGGAATTGCTATTTCTTTATATTTCAGTCTGTATGGAGAATATTACTTCCTACAACAAAAACTCTCTGCACTTAGCCCACAGTAATATAAGCAGGCAGATAGAATTTGAGTTATTCACAACATAAGAATGTTTGTTAGATATGAGTAATTTGATTAATTGTAAAACTGAGGTCACATAATGTTGTGCGAAATTGGACATGACTAAAACCAGTTTCTGTTCCCAAGACTTTTGCCTTTTTGCTGTTATGCTGTATTTTGCATAAATGCCATTCCCTTTCCATGCTGCACTTAACCTGCTGTGATCTGTTCTTCATAAACAACAGGCTCTAGTGGGTAATCTGCACACTTTCTTTTGCTGCCTAGTGCCATTGGGCTTGTTGCCATGGGTTGAGAGAGACTTGCATTCCTCATAGTTTTCCCCCAAGCAGTTTTTTAGAAAAGGTTGCTGAGGTTTTAAATGGGATCCATTTCAGACAGATTAATATGAACATGAATAGTGCTAATCCTGCCTTGGGGGTGTAGTTTTGTGGGACTTTGTGGTATGTCTTGCTATTTGCTACCACCTTCCACAGTCTAGCTGTGGTTTCTTTTTCTCACAAGTCATCATACAAGTGACTGAGAGCAAATCTCCTTGGAGAGTTTCTTTGAGTTTAGGGTTCCCAAAATGCAGCTGCTGGGGCAGTTATGATGCAGTACTGCGATTTCTTTTAAAGCGGGTGCATCAGTCAAACCTGTCACCTTATGGCAGGGTCATTGAGTGGGCTATCAGAGCAGTTCTCCATTATCAGATAGCTTCAAGAGCACTCCCACATCTGGTAATAAAGTCTGTTTGGAAAGAGTGATCTATATTATAGTCCATAGCAATAGTTTAATTCTGCACTATGCTAATGCACATACAAAGTTCTGTTTTCTCCTGAGTTCCACAAACAACCCCTTTCTAAAGATTGGGGGAACCCTTTCAGTCTTCAGACTTCATGATGCAAGTCTGTTCCTCTGCATTGTCTAGTGGAGCATGATGCTGGGCAGAACTACAAAAACTAATTTCTTAATGCAGCAAGGCGCTGTGTAGACATGTCCCACATTCCCTGGATGCTGTGTGTTATTCCATTATTCAGTGCTTATATTCTAGCAATACTAAGCTCTTAAGGATTTAACCTCTGCTTTCAGAAGGCAAGAACACAGTCTATCTTGCTAAATTGAAGAAACTGTTCATGAAGTATCTGGGCATTAATTGATAAATGGTCCTGGCTTTTTTTTAATGAAGACATCCCTTCTATAAAAGACTGTAGCTGTAGCTTTCAGTGAGTACTGCTCTGCAGGTTTGTCTGCTACTTAAACACTTGCTTTCTTCCTGCAGCTTTCGTTGTGTTTCTCATTTGTATGTTGTGCTAAAGACAGCCCATGAATGGGTAAGGAGGTAAGAACTTTGGTTATATATGGTATTTCTTCAAAGTACCAGTTGAGAGAACAAAGGAACAGTCTTAAAGCAGGAGTGGACATACTTAGGGAAAGTGACAATATAAGATCATTCTTAACTTCCAAACGTCTCATTCTATGTCAGAAGCAGAAAGCCTCTCTTAGGTACACTTCTCCTGAACTAAAAATAGTATATGTGTTATTGTGTCTGATGGGAATGCCCTTGACTATGGTTAAGATTTTTTTGCTTCATATCACTTCTGTCCCTGATTATATGAATAGTGAAATTCCTGTGGAGCAAGCATTTTTTGAATGGTGCATAGACTTGAGGGAGATAGGTGCTGCATAAAGCCTTGGTGGAAATATTTGCACAGCACCATTTGTAAAGGATCAAATATGAGCAGAGATCAGAAAAAGTGACGAAAATTATTTAAAGGGTTGCAGTTGCAAAGAAGCTCAAACATAAGATGCAGACTGATTCATAGCTCCCAGAAGTTGTCTATAAAGGTAAGGTAGGCTTCTGATAATAGTCAGCGGACTCTTAATCAGATGTAGGGTCTAAGCATTACAGCAAGATACGTAAACCAGAACAGAGGCATCACTATTTAGAGTTAAGATAAATAGCCGTCGGACCAGTGTGCTGGTTGTGTTAAATTGGGTTCAGAGGACTTGCTAGCTGAGCCTCATAGCTTGAGCAAAGAAAAGGCTTGATTGAAGAATGGCTGTGTGACACTGGCTGCTGCTCCATGGGTTCAGACTAGATGACCTGCTGGCTTGGAGCTATTTATTTAGCTGTTTTTACAGTGTTTACAAGGAGCACCTTGGAGCAGTCAGGATTTGGAGCCTTGCCTCGTGTTGTGAGTGCAGGCAGTAGCTCTACTGCCTGCCCATACCCTCAGCAGTACCATTAAAAAACTGAATGTTTTTTCTTCTCTCACAGAAGTATTGCTTTGAATGCAGGAGTAATGTTTTTCTTTCCTTCTCTTCTCTGCCCTCTGTTATGGAAGGAGCCAGGAAATATTTGTTTGGATCTGTGATGGGATAGGAGTCAGTTACTAAGCTTTTCATCTGAACAGCAGTGAGAGGCTAGTCTGAGTGTTGCTGTTCCTGTGCTAAGCCCAGTGCTTGTCCAAGGTGCTTTCAAACCTCTCACAACAAATTACTTCTTTCTGTAACTTTTTAGAAACTGGTTTCAGACATTACTGAATTGCTGCTTTGCCTCTGTTCTCTGTCATATATGTGCATGCAATTTCTCTCTCACTTCCATTTTATCTTTCAGTAACAACCCCTTGATCCTCCTTTGTCAAATAGCTGTAAAGGGATGCTGCTTGCTGCTTACTTGTTTAAAGTCTTGGAAATCTGCTTGGGAATCTGATTCTGGTGCAGTAAGGTACTGAAAAAACCCAAACAATGGCCTCTCTTTCCCCTTAGGAACTTAAGAGGCAGAATCACCTATAATTCATCTGTCATCTGTACATTCATATTGTAATGATTTTTGATGAGAGCAGGTATTTAATTGTATGTCTAGTATATTAGCTGCTGTTTGATTTCACACATGGTAATGGCAGGGTAGAGTAGAGGAGCTGCTGCTACACTTTTAATTTGGGCAGTGGCGGTAGAGCAATCTTTCTTGAGTTTGTCCCTCACGCTTTTCATCCTTCAGTTGAGACACAGGTGAAATGTCGTATCTCTCCATGAAAAATAGGAACAGTGTCCTCCTGTACAATCAGGGATTTGGCTGCTTACAGTGCTTAAAACTGCAATCAGATGTTTTTTTTTTAAGTGTAGAGATTAATGGGGAATCTGTTGAAGACCTCAAATGATCGACAAGTTTTATTTGACTGATTGCCTATTATGTAAATTAATGTTCAGCTGTTGGACAGGTGTATGCTAATTTGAGACGTCAAATTCTGTCATGTGCCTTTCCAGCAGTAATGGGCATTCTATACCTGCAACTTGGTTAACAATCAAGTGTATTTAGTATATAAGATTGTCTTACCTCTGACACAATGCTTAGCTTTAGGAGACTGAGAGTCAAAAAGTCAAACACATTTTTCTCTAACATGTATTTTAATAGTCAAAATTAACTCAATAACTGAAGATTTGATCTGTGCAGTAAACATGTGTCATCCTTACATAGTTATTCTTCTGGTTATAACACTATTTAAAAATATATAATCCCACTACTGTTGGAGTGGGATTAAAATAAGGTTGAATTTTGGGTTGAAGATTTAAATTTTCTTTGGAAACAAAAGCTCAAGCCTAACATAATTGGGAAAATTTAAAGTAAAACCCCACACTTTCAAGATTCCTTACTATAGGTGCTCTGAAATAGTTGACATTTAAAATTTGTTTAAATACAGTGTTTAGAAACGGTACTGGATTACCTATTGCCTTTACATTTCTTCAATGTCATACCAGTCCTATATAACTGATGAAAAGTACACCTTTCCCCCCAGCTTTTAAACTGCAAACCCTAGGCTGTAGGCCACTGTTACGACACCTAAATATACTGAGACTTGGTCAGGTATTATGGTAAAAGATAGCATCTCTCAACATGAAGACATTCAGAAAAAGCAACTGCAGTGATTTTTGAGGTTTCTGAAGTGTCCATTCTTCATGGGTAGCTGTCTGACCTTTAGGATAAGGATAAGATTTAATTGCAGCTGTTATCTGTAGTAGGGAAGTCCTTTGGTACTGCAGTAGAACATGTGCTTGTGGTTGTTGTGAAAGTGCTATCAATTTCAGATGTTTTTTTCCTTTTTTGTTTTAATGGCAGCATGGGGGAGAAAGGGTCATGGGATACCAGTCCAAGGAAGACCAGCATTCCTAAGCCCAGTTATTTACAAAATTACTTCACTTTTATGGATGTTATGTGCTTGGCTTGCATAAATGAGTGTATGTAATTGGTTGCTCTGCATTGAGATGCATTGTATAACATACTCTTAGCACATCTATCCTAAATTTATGTCAATACAGTTTTTTGCCATGTACTCTGTAATTTTTCTGAAGGCTTGGTTGAAGGACTGTCTAGTCACTAATACTTGAATTTTTTAAATGCTGGGTACACTGGATTTTGTTATATAATGTAATATGGAGTGATCTTGCCTTAAGAATTCAAGACCCTATCCTGGAATTTAGCTTTATCCCGGGATACGATTTTTACAATTAATGCTCATATGTAAAGGCAGCTTCTTGTGCTATTGGGAATGCAATGTTGTCTATGCGATCAGCAAAGATGAATACAAACATAAACCAAAGCAGTTCTATCACATTTTTTGGAATGTTCAGCGATAAGATTGACCAATAAGAAATACTTTCTAACTTGATTATTGCTAATTATAGTCACATTACTTTTGAGTAATTTGCAATCAATTTTGTGATATATTGCAAGAATAAAGATGAAACTGCAGATAGTAGTGATAGTGTAGTAACATGGGTACATGAGATTACTGTTGATTTTGGCTGCTAAAAGTGAATGCTTGAGGTAAAATTATTGATTTGTGCTTTAGTGAAACCCAAGATAAATACCACGTACCGTGTTATAATTGCTCTTAGATCATGTTTTATGTGATATTCAAAGCCTTTTAAAAAAACTGTCATTAAGTCTCTGAACAAACTTTGCTACCTTAGGGCATTGAAGCCAGCTGTCAGCAAGGGGGAATGACTGATTTAGCTCTGAAGGATCCCTAATGAAGGGAACTGTACAAATACCCCATCACTCTTCTATGTGAAGAGAACTGGAATGGGAAATTGGCTTCAGTGAACTTCTTTGGAAAAAGAGAGAGTGGACAGAATTAATTTTACAAGTAAAATAAAAGGCTGTTTCTGAAGTGGTCTCATTTCATGGCTTTTTTCAGAAATGTATTGAAGGAACCTCTCTATCTTTTAAAGTAACAGGCATTTCTATACCATTTGAAGGTACTGATGTACACACTCAGCCATGGCTGAAAGTGTGTTTGCTAGAAAGGATTTTGGAATCTGTTAGTACTTACACAGATGCCTGTATGATGATAATTTACTTTTGTCTCAAGGGATGTCAAAGGCATCCTGAATTTCATCCAAATGCTGACCACTCTGAAAGCTAAGGTAAAGGTTGTTTGTTATTGGATTTATTAAGCTAAATGAAACTATATGAAACTATAGTGCTGCTGAACTAATACCCACATAGATGTTAATAAGATCAGTCTGCTAGATCAGAAGTTATTTGTTCTCACTTTAGGAGTTCCATGTCTGAACTAGTAATTCTGGTGTCTATCTGTGTTAAAGGAAGGAAGTGGGCAACTCTAGATATCTAGAGCTTTAAAGTTAAGCAAGATGAATCTTATATTGTGTACCTTTTGACTCACTAGAACCTTCATCAAACATTCTTAAGACCTTGTCAATGTATCAAGACCAAGCATGTTGTATCTTGCTCCTACCGTGTAGTTTGACCTAGTAACAGAATAGGGCTTCAATCTATCTGGAGAAGGTTTGTTAACATAACAAGTCAGTATTGAATTTTTTTCAGCCGTGTTTGCAGAACAAAATGCTCTTGAAATACCCACAGATGCTGCTCTCTAGCAACGCCTATGGAATTTGGGACCAGGTGGCCTTTCCATAACCCAGCTGGGATACAGTGGACAACTATGTAATAGTAAACAGTGAATGGAATTTAGCAGAGGGTGGAATGAGCTGAGACACAACTAAAGTGCTCTCAGATGACTACTTGTAACTTCTTTTGCTGCCTGAATTTCAGCTAAAGGAGTTGGAGTACGAGAAATAACGTTTCTTTGGGGTGGGGTGGAGGTGAGGGGAGAAAAGATAACAATATCAAATATAGTCTTCTGTGAGACCTCCTTGCTCTGAAGGATACATTTGTGATGCATCTGGGTTGGGACTTCCAATGGGATGCTGAATTATAAAAAAAAAAGTGGTTGGTGATAGTGAGAAATGAAATGCCTGCTCTTTGTTTTATTAAACAGGTGCAGTGCCATACCTACACTGGATACTGCTGGTGTGTGACACCTGATGGCAAGCCTATTAGCGGCTCTTCTGTACAGAACAAAACTCCTGTATGTTCAGGTACTGTGGGAGTGGCTTCAACAAATGCTAATTCTATAACTGAAGAGGGCTGAGGTAAATGCATCCTGTTGAGAGAGCTAAGTCTTTTCAGGTGACTTGTCCAGTTTACCCCATTTAACACTGCAGTTTGGACTCTGACATGTCCACCTGTGGTTAGCATACAGACACTTCTGCAAGGCTCAGTGAGAAAAACTACTGAGGTAACAACCTGTGGTAACCAAGGCAAGAGTCAGTGTTGCCATGTATACCAAAACCAAAGATTCACGTAACAGATGCGATAACTTTTTTCCATGAGCTGTATTTTAAAGAAATGGTATTTTGGGGGACATGGAGTAATTTTTTGTACAGAGTGATTTCAGTTAATTTGGTTTTGTGAGAAATCGGTAGTTTCTGAGGTTCTGCTGTTCTAATGAATTTGGGTCTATTGATCATGTTGCTTACTTTAGAATGCCTTTGTGTCATGAGGGTGGATAGCACTGGGCTTGCACCACAGGTCACAAGAGGGAAGTCCAGACCTGGGCTGTTACTCATGTGTGTATTAAGTGATGTGCTTCTGGGCACTTAGGGTGACATAGTAATGTCACACTGTGGTTTACTGAGACCAAATCCATAATTTTCTTTAAAACAGAGTAATGCTGTTTTTCTTTTTTCTCCCCACAATTCATTAGGGCAGCCCATGGCTCAAATGGAATGGGATTGGTCCCTAGATTTTCATATGGCCCTGATCAGTAGTGTACAGTCTAGCTTTGTGAGCTGTGGTGAACAGTGCTGCTGTGGCAACACCCAACTAGACATGGGCAAGGGTGGGAAGCTGTTCTGTGCTGTTTGGGAGAATTTGAGGGCAACACTAGAATTAGGCTGCCCTCCTCACTTCCCCCTCTCTCCCCCTCCCTACCCCCCAAAAAAATAAGAGAAGAAAGAAAAGGCAGTAAGCATAGGAGTGTTCTAACATGTTCAGTGATGCCATTTGGGCACTGCTGCTGCATCTGGCTCCATGCTTTGCAATCTGCAATTCATGGATTTTTAACGTATATCTCCTCTCACACCTTGCAGTTTTTGCTCTTTAGGTGGGAGCATGACAGCAGTCAAACCTTTGGGTTTTTTAATTTTTCTCCCCTTATTCAGTGTCCTCTTGGCTGGAAGGTATTTTGTGATAATAAGCAAATATAAGTGACTTGCATAAGGGTTTGAGTTGAGTGGGAGAGCTGTCTGAGAACTAGTGAGTCCATGTGCTTGAGGAAGTGCTTGGTTTTTCACAGGCATGTAAAAATAAAAGAAGATTAATATCCTAATTTAGTGTAAGGTCAAATGCTACAGTAATTTGTCTTAAACCTTAGAATATGACTTTGACACCATTTTCAGTACATCATTTTGGTAAGGCATGTTTTAGAGTTTTGCTGATCTGTTTGTTTAGCCTTGTGCTGTTTATAAAATTGTGTTACAGGAAAGTAAAGTCATGTTGTATTGTAGGACACAGATGTTAGGCCTGTGATGACTAATATTGTGTTCGTGCTTACTATTTGTAATTCAGCAGTAGATCTGTGATTAACTGATCTGCAAGTGAAAGTGCCTGGGGAATAGTTTACCTTTAGAGTTTGTCTTGACCAGATTCTTGGGCCTGTCAGAGCTGTCTTCTTTAGAGGTGACTTTTGATCCATGTTTCCTGAAGGTTAAATAATCACTGGAACTGTTTAATAATGGTGTGTGGAAGAATCAGTTTCCTGGGAATAAAGCTATTAAAAAAAAGAATCTTGTCATAGATTTTTATACACTTTGATAATGAATTTGTTTGAAAAGCTTTTATTACCTGTTCAAGTTTTAGCAGAAAACTGGGATGAAGCACTGAAGCAGACTGCAGAAACAAACATAGAATCATATATTTTCTGTGAAGACCTAAGTTATAGTAAACAACTCAAGATGTGTTCTATTCAAGTACATGCTGGATCTTATTCACTGTCCCCTTTAAAACAGCTGGGGATGTTCAGGGGTTGGTTGAAATCCATTTTCTGCAAATTGTCCCACTTAGTCCCTTTCCTTTAGAATACTGTACTTGCATTCCCTGCACATTCTCCCCATCTGTTTTTTATTTGTTCTTCCTGACATTTGCAAATAAAAGAAGTGATTCTTACTGATCTTTCCTTCTTGCCTTTGAATTTATTTCAGGTTTCTTACTAGCACAATGCTCTGTTGAACTCTTTCAGATCACTGCATCCAGCTACTAAAGATTTCTTATTTACCCTCAGCCCAATGTAACATCTTAATGCATAAAACTTATGGGTTTTGCATTGGTTGAAGCCATGGGCTTTCTGACTCCTAAATGGAGCTGTTGATAAGTAAAATAGATGCTTTATGTGTTGAGATGTTGACTGTATTAATGTGACATCACATGCTCTGTGTGATCATGCAGCATCTAAATGGATGTCTTTTTTTTTTTTTTCCCTCCCCTTTAGGTTCTGTAACTGATAAACCATCAAGCCAGGGTAATTCAGGAAGGAAAGGTGAGTGAAGTCCTGTGCTTCAGCAACTTGTTTTGTAATAGCAGCTGCCCAGCCACATCCCTTAAAATAGCTCAGAACCTGGGTTCCTAATCAGTCAGTGCATGGGAGGCATATGTACCATTAGACCTCCTCTTCAGGAGGAATTAATGGAATTAAATGACTGTTCTACTCCCTGAAGAGTAGAAAAGGATGTGCTCTGCTCTGTGCTTGCCAACTGAGTTGTAGTGCAAGACAGCTGAGCTTCCCAAGGGGTGGGTGGCTGGTCCAGAATAGCCTCTGCTTGTTCACTTTGAAGTAACATACTGAGCATTTCTCAGTAAAATCCCTAGAGATTAGGAAGGCTGTCAATATGACTGGTATTCTGGGAGTTACAAGTGCCAATATTATGGTTGTGGCTCTGTATGCATTGGAAAATGGAGTTTTTCTAGTAGCACATAAAACCCTCTGGCAAGTTGGAGCAGCACTGGATTAAACCTTAGCTGTTCTTGAAAACCTCACTCTTTTGTGCATTAGGCATTGGTCCTTCTTCGCTATTGTCTTCAGTCCTTGCTTTTCCTGTGCAAGGCATGGGGTAGTTCCTTGTTCTTTTCCTGTGAGTATTTTAACTCTTCTCTGTGTCCTCTGGTTTGCATTCACTCTAATAGTCTTGGGAGGGTTGACCACTGAAGTGTCTATGTGTGTGTGTGTGTGTGTGTGTGTATATATATATACATGTACACACACACTCACTGAGGAGCAGGGAAATTTGTCTTTAGGCCTTCTCCCCACCCTGATATCCAACATTTCTTTCCTCTCTCCTGATTCAGAACTTTTGAATTTGTCTCCTTACTACAGGAAAACAGTGCTGAATGCATCCTCATTCCTGCTGGTGAGGATGAATGCTATTTCTTGGGAGAAGTTCCTGTTTTGATAACTGAAGCAAGATTTTTAGTGCTAACTGTCTAAACCTGTTCTTCCTGACACTTCAAGCCTAGGAAAATACCAATACTTTAATTCAAGGAACATCTTCCATGCTGGGAATGTCAGTCCAGTCCTGAAGACGCTGACGAGGGATTAGCTTGCTATGTTCAGAGCAGTGATGCATATCTGCTCTCCAGTCTATTGTTTGTGTATATTAGTTTAGGAAAAGGTAGGGAGAAGAAAGATGCAAGGAAAACTACTTAGTTAAGACTGAATGCTGAAGTTTCTTTCTCGCTTTTGATACATGTTAATGTATAATTGGCACCTGAATCCATTGTTATTCTGCTAATGCAATCATTGCTAGACTAGCCTGAAGTATAAGCAAATCCAGTAGCTCTTGAAATCTGCATTATTTTTGAGTGGAGGCTCTTTGTAGGGTTTTTACCTGAGTAGTCCTGGTCTATTGTTCTAGATTTGGAAGCAGCTGAGATTGGATTTCATAAGAAACAGGAGCAAAAGGGGAAAACATTTGAACTTGTTTTTCCTCATCACTCCCTTTATTTAGGGCTTGGAACATGCAAAAAGAGAACTGTAAATGGTATAAATTGATCTAAAATTTGTAATATAAATTGATTCTCCTTAGTGCAGCCTTGTAGCATCCTATTTCAAGGATATGCTTGGTCATGTGGCTGCAGAAATGCCCTATGCAGTAGCTGTCAAACAGAAAATGCTTCCCCTTGGGCCAGCATGCTTCAAGCAATCATGTCAGTTTTCTGTCCCCTCTAGTTCTGAATTCATTCGTGGCTGTTGGAAGCCCACACAGAAGCAAGTTTGGCCCTTTTCCATCATGTTAGAAAAATACTTATGAGCAGTTATTAAACAGGTCTTTTAAAATCAAGAGGGCTTTTAGAAGCTGTGATAATTTGGTTTAAAATTTGATGGACTTAGCATTACATTTTCAACTAGTGATGAATGACTAATCTAAAAATGAATTTGGCTTTCTTGTCAGCACTTTTTCTTGACTTAAGTTACTTTGATTTAAAATTCCAGTATCAGGTCCTGTTCTACAGAAGTCAGAATCAAGAACAGCCTGGCTTCCTTGAAGCAAGGTGGTTGCTGCAGGTCCAGCTTCTCTGAAGACTGGTGGCTAGCCAGTATGCACATCTGTTCTAGCTGAGTGTTCAAACAGTTTTTGTAAAGACAACCCTTTGCAAAATGACAAAAAGGGCAGGACGAGGAGGGGTCCAGCAGGAACTGGGTCAGTGATGACCTTTGTGTTTTAGAGGCACAACTTTGAAGCTTCTGATATCTCTTTGGGCAACTGCCAGCTGACTTGGGAGCTTTTGGAATTTTCCCACTGCACAGTAGACTCCTCTCTCCATTTCTGGATGAGGGTCTCTTAGAGTGTTATCTGGCACAGAATAAGTACTCTGAAGAGGAAAAGTAATAGCTAAGACTCTCAGAAGTGATTTCTTTTGTCTCATTCATACAGAAATGTAAAATGTGGAGCTAATAAACTTTGTGATGCTGGTGCCTTTCAAGTCTTCAGGGCAAAAATAGTTTTCTGGATAGAGTCTGCTCTGCATTAGAAATAGTGCAGATGGATGGGCTTAAGCTCTTGGGTAATAAGTGAAGACTTTACTAGCCTGTTAGCACTCCTTTAGAAGAGGGAAATTAATGTTGGAAGGAGGAAAAGGCTGGTTATTGGTAATAAGTCTTTCTCCAAATGTTTTGGCCTCTTTTCCATCCTGTTTAGCTGTAATTTCTGGAGTACCAGGGGATGTGAGATAGCATGCAATTCCACTCACAGGCTTTCTCACTCCTGATGAAAAGAAAATTCAATTGCTCTATGGGGATGTGGCTTGGCATGTAGGTCCAGAAGTGGCTCTGTGGAGCTTTCTGCAGAGAACAAGCAAGCATGCTGGCAAGAGATACTTTTTAAATTCCATGCTCTGGTTATTGATATCGCTACTGCTGTATGATGCAGTGCCAGTTACTCATACAAGATGTATTTTACTCATACAATTTTTCATACAATTTGCACCGAAGTTAAAATTTTAAAATAGGAGATATTGATTTGTTCTATTTTGAGAAGTGCTCTGTTGCTGAAAGGCAGAGCAGACGTGGGAAGATGGAGACATGTTTGCATGAGGTGGAATAGAAACCCAGGCTCTCGAGAACATGCTTGTTGTGTGGACTTTGCAGCTCAGACACTTACCACCATTCTTTCTATGCTGAATGCAGCCTGCAAGTGAAGAACAAGCTCCCAGGACCTTTGTCAGGGAATACAATTACTCTTGTATGGGATTAGGATATCCAAAACCTGCAGATTTCTGTTGTTCTTTTTTATTCCAACTTGTTCCTTGTACAGTCCTTTCTCATAAGGAGCTTCTTGCATTAATTTGCTCCAGTTGTTGCTTAGATTGAAAAGCCTGAGACTCTTGGAAAATGCATGCTGTCCTCTAGAGGTCTGGATCTCCCCAGTCTCTCCCACTAGGATGTTGTTAATGTTTTAAGAAGCAGTGAAAGGCATCCTTGGAGCCAACGTGACTGGATTTTTTCCTTGCCTAAAGAATGCAGAATGTTGCTTTCCAGCCAAAGGGAAATTGTGCCACCCTTTTGAAACAAAAAAAAACAAACGTGAAACGAAGAAAATTTAAAACTTTATTTTATTTGAGGAGTTCTAGGGCTTTAGCTCAAAGCTACAGATTTAGCATATTGCAGTCATGAGTGGTATCTTTTATAGTCACCAAGAAGGTTTTAAAAAGTAGACTGGTCAGGAATCAGAGGGAGGTAAAAAACAGCCATGCAATTGCTTATCTCGATAAAGTCACTTGGTCTTCCTTCTGGAAGAAGAAATATATTCCCGTGAGGATACTGGTTTGTTAGTGATTAACTCTTCTGGACACTATCTTGACTTATCTTGTTTTCCTATTGCAAAAGCTGGCAATAGCATCTGCAATTCCCTGTACAGTTGGTGAAACGTAAGCTTTGATGGACCCACAGAAAGCAAAGCCCAGGTTGAACTTGTTGTACAGTTACTATCTTACATGTAGACAAGACTCTTGTATGGAGTTGCAAAAATCTTTCCTCAATATGTTTGCAGCCTACCCTGAGATTAGCTCAGTTGGTTAGAGCATGGTGCTAATAATGCCAAAGTTCTATCACAGTATGGGCTATTTGCTTAAGAGTTGGACTTGATGACCCTTGTGGGTCCTCCACCTCAGGTTATTCTGTGATTCAAAACTGAAGCAGTCTGAGAAACCTAAGATGAACAACTTGAAATTCTGGCCAACTGAACATGTAGAATTGGGTTCCTTTTTATGGGTTTGACTGTCAGAAATTAGTTTTAAGGCAGGCTTTTTTGGCAGAGAAATTCTGGACTGCAGCTGTGGGCAAGTTGGCCCATTCTGTGGCTCTCTTCCTGCTGTTTTTCAAGAGTCTTACCTTTAGAAAATGTTATTGGCCTAGTTGTGCAGCCAGTAGACTGAGCAGTCTGAATCAGTAATGAGCCATTAGTCTGAGTCAATAATTAGGCTGAGCAGTAAAGGGCGAACACTTTCCTCAGGCAAACCCAAGTGAAGGATGGCTTGTGCTAGTGTAAACAAATGGAACTGCTTGTACCTGGGGACCTGGAGGCTTTATCTGCTGGTGTTAAGAAGTCAAGTGCAGCTGGCACTAATTCACCTGCCATCACCTCGCAGGGAGGGGAGCACACTGCCTCCACAGTGGTTAGCATGTCTCACACAAGACAGATAATATCTTGACAAAAATATCATATTGAAATGTGACTAAACCCTGAGACTGGGACTTTGGTCTTTACCTTCTCCAGATCTTTCTGGATTCAACTAAAATTTGTAATATAAATTGATTCTCCTTAGTGCAGCCTGTAGCATCCTATTTCAAGGATAGGTACCTGAAATGCAACTGTGCTATCACACAAACCAAGTTTCAAATGCTCCTGCCTCTCTGACCTCATGTATCCTTAGAAAATGCTCTGATGTCTTTAGCAGTTTGTGGAGAATACAGAAAAGACAGAGAAATATAGCATGGCCTTCATCAGTAAGATGAAAGAAATACAAGTTTACTGGGGCAGTTTG